CAGATTGTAGAACCTTTATCAGTGCAGCCATGTGGATGAGTCACGGCCATTGCTTGGCCAATGTGCTCTCTGTGAAAGCCTGAGAGAGTGTCTTTTCCCCGTGTGACTCTCCTTAGGCCCACTCTACGTCATTGATCATCTCAATAAAATTAACTTAAAAAAAGAAATAGGGGCTATCACAAGTCCTATAGGCATTAAGAGAATACTAAAGAAATACCATTAATAACTATGTAAAAATTCAAATAATGTTAACACAGAAAGTACAATTGATCTAAATATAAAACATACACCTGGGGCCGGAGAGATGGCTCAGTAGAATAAGCGCTTCCCTGGCAAGCCCAAGGGCCTGAGTTCAATCCCCAGTTCCACAAAAAAAAAAAAATCTATAAAACTTATAGAAGAAAACATAGGGGAGGGGCTGGGGAGATAGCTCAGTGGCATAAGCACCTGCCTGGCAAGCCCAAGGTCCTGAGTTTAATCCCTGGTACCACCAAAAAAAAAAGAAAGACAGAACATAGGGGAATACTTTCACGATATATGGTTAGGCAAATAGCTCCTAGATGTGACACTAAAAATGATTCACAAAACAAAAAATTAATTAATTTCACCTCCCCAAAATTAATAACTTTCAGCCTGCAAAAGACTATGTACAAGTCCAGGTACATCTAGAAAAAAATATTTGCAAACCATATATCTAGCAAAAGACTTGTATTCAGAACATATGAAGAACCCTCAAAACTCCGTGGAAGGGAAACATACATCTCAGCTTTTAAAAATGAACAAAAGCCTTGAGCACTTCAGCAGAGAGTGTATCCAGAGAGTGTCTTAGTCACTGTTTTCATCACTGGGACAAAATACTTGACACCCAGAATTGAAAAAAGAAAGGAGGAGAGTTTATCTTGGCCCGTGTTTCAGCCTGCAGGAGGCTGGCTCCGAGGCCCCACGGCATAGCACACCGTCTGCACCACTGTGGCAGCCAGGAAACACAGACGCTCAAAGGAGGAGCTGGAAGGGAACCAGCCCCTTCCACACCGTGCCCCGGCAGTCTGTCTTCTCTAGCAAGACTCCGCCAACACCCAGCCAGCTACACTCCCCCATGGTCCATTCGCCTTTTGAATATATGAGGTTTAGTGGGCCATCTTGTATCTAAACCATGATACTCCACTCCGCCCCTCAAAGGACATGTGCACTTCTCTTTATGCAAAATGCATCGATCCATCTCCAAAAGTTTCTGAAGTCCTAATGTCAGTGTTGCTGAAAAGTCTCAGTCCAAAGTCTCCTCAGATGCAAGGAGCACTCTTCGGAACAGTGATCCCAAGTATAAATTTTAAAAAGCTGAACATATTCAGTGGTACAGGGTGAACATTCTAATTCCAAAAGGCAGAAATACAGAGGGCCAGAGCAAGACCAAAACTCACCTGGGAGAACACTAAATCCACAGTTCCTTGCCAATACCAGGATAAGTGGTGGTGAGATGTCAACTTCGAGGGGCGTG